TATTTTATTTATTTATTTTGGCTTTGGTTGTGGTCAATGAAACAATTCTATGGGTGTTTGATTGGACGGACTGGATAGGGGGATTAGAATCCATCGAACTTGAGTCCTGGGACTGTGAATCCCTCGGACTATTTGGTTGGATTGGATATGTATGCTGTCTTTGTTTTTTCATGGGATTAGATGTCTGGAAAGGACTATTTTTAGTGAATCCAACGTTTGGTTGGACGGACTGGATACGATAAATGAACAAAAGACTATTTTACCCTTTTTTCAATTGTTTACTAAGGTGCCGTTTGATAACACTTACGTTTTCAGTTTTCTGTTTATATTTACAAAAATTTTAAAAACTCAAATAAAAACTTGTTTGGTAAAATTTTTGATTTATAAATCAGTGGTCTCAGTTTATAAATTTGGCCAAAAAATGAAAACACAAAAAATGTGTTTCCATTTTGAGTTTTCAGTTTTTTTTTTTTTTTACCACCCAACACTAGCCACCACCCGCCACCATTTTCCACCACCGTCTTCCGCCTCGGACGGTGGTGGTGGCGTGCGCGTGTGTGGTGGTTTTGGCTAAGGTTTACTTTGTCCGTAACTCCTCTCTTCTACAAACTTGGGGTGCCCCTTGGGGCCCACCCAAGGCCTCGTTTGGGAACCATCCCTTTTAGCAAAAAAGTCAAAAAGTTACTAAATCAGCCAAAAAGTCAACACCCCATACCAAAAAGTCAAAAAGCATCAAGAGTTGTTTCGAAGGTTGATTACTTCACCTTCGAAGCTGTATAAAGCTTTGAAGATACATTCGAAACATCAAAAGTTGTTTCGAAGGTTGATTGCTTCACCTTTGAAACTGTATAAAGCTTTGAAAACTTTCGAAATGTGTACATCTCTTCAAATATATGTAAAATGGCAATTAATTAGTTGTCGAATAAAGCCTATTTTTGGCATGATAAGTTGGTTCGAAGAACAACCGTTTTGGTGTCTTCGAAGAATTAATAATTGGTTCGAAGCACAAAATTAATATTTTCATTAATTATGTATGAACCAGATCATACAAAATTTGAATAACCACAATGTTGGGCAAAAGTTGCTTCGAAGGCCCTTTTGCCATCATTTTGTAAGCTTCGAAGTACTCTATCTTGCATTAATAGCTTCAAAGAAACAATAATGGTGGTTATGAACCTTCGAAACTTTGCCGAATATTTCCAAGGATGTAATTTGTCCTTTATCGGCACTTTCAACCTTCGAAAGATGATTTTGGTCCTTTATACCACCTTCGAAACTTGTTACTAGTCCATAATAGCTAGCATTCGAGTCATCTAGTCATAATTTCATACTCATTCGAAGCATTTCATTGGTGCTATTACATCATTCGAAGCACTTTGTTGATATTATTCGAAGCATTTTATTGCTTAGATTAATCATGTGCTTGGTTCGGCCCTTCAAAAATTCAAATAAACATCATTTTTAAAGGGCCACGGAGGGTAATGTTAGCACCATAAATCTGTAATTTTATTATTATATAATTGCAGGACACGTGGCATCCTCTTATTCATTTGGAAATTAAAAGAAGTTATAGAGATAATGGAGAATATGAAGGACAAAGTGGATGAGTGGGAGGACAAAGTGGATGAGTGGGAGGACAAAGTGGATGAGTGGGAGGACAAAGTGGATGAGTGGGAGGACAAAGTGGATGAGTGGGAGGACAAAGTGGATGAGTGGGAGGACAAAGTGGATGAGTGGGAGGACAAAGTGGATGAGTGGGAGGACAAAGTGGATGAGTGGGAGGACAAAGTGGATGAGTGGGAGGACAAAGTGGATGAGTGGGAGGACAAAGTGGATGAGTGGGAGGACAAAGTGGATGAGTGGGAGGACAAAGTGGATGAGTGGGAGGACAAAGTGGATGAGTGGGAGGACAAAGTGGATGAGTGGGAGGACAAAGTGGATGAGTGGGAGGACAAAGTGGATGAGTGGGAGGACAAAGTGGATGAGTGGGAGGACAAAGTGGATGAGTGGGAGGACAAAGTGGATGAGTGGGAGGACAAAGTGGATGAGTGGGAGGACAAAGTGGATGAGTGGGAGGACAAAGTGGATGAGTGGGAGGACAAAGTGGATGAGTGGGAGGACAAAGTGGATGAGTGGGAGGACAAAGTGGATGAGTGGGAGGACAAAGTGGATGAGTGGGAGGACAAAGTGGATGAGTGGGAGGACAAAGTGGATGAGTGGGAGGACAAAGTGGATGAGTGGGAGGACAAAGTGGATGAGTGGGAGGACAAAGTGGATGAGTGGGAGGACAAAGTGGATGAGTGGGAGGACAAAGTGGATGAGTGGGAGGACAAAGTGGATGAGTGGGAGGACAAAGTGGATGAGTGGGAGGACAAAGTGGATGAGTGGGAGGACAAAGTGGATGAGTGGGAGGACAAAGTGGATGAGTGGGAGGACAAAGTGGATGAGTGGGAGGACAAAGTGGATGAGTGGGAGGACAAAGTGGATGAGTGGGAGGACAAAGTGGATGAGTGGAAGGACACATGGCAAGACAAGAATGAAGATGGAAAGGCATATGCCACATAAAACTCTACTATTAAACTTCAAAATTGTAATTTAGAAAACTCTTACCAACTAACTTCCCCTACAAATCTTGTTCCCATGTTAGATGTCAAAGAAAAAGGTTCCCAAACTAGACAATTTTAAGAATTTGCAATTGTAACCTCAACCCCAACACCAGGTTCAGTGGTGACGGATGTGATATGCTTAACCACATCTGGGGAGCTGAAGAGATCAATCATTCACTTATGGACACAGAGCTCAAATCTGTCCCAAGTGTTGGTTTCTGTCAATGCAAATGTTAAGGGTTAATGAGTCTCTTCCAGTTAATGACGTATTGCAAATTTCAATATCATCTGAATGTAGGTCTGAGCATGCTCAGCTATAGTAACAACCCTACAAAAATAGCACTAAAATACAAGTTTAACTAAACACTATTGGATAGAGATTATTTCATGTTTTAAAAGGCTTCGGGTTCCTAGAGCTTCCAATAGATAAATTCCGAGAACATTCAAGTCTAATAACAACATGGTAAAATTAGAGTTTTTTAACCAAACTCGTGTCATTTTAAAACAAAATTTTCAAACCCAAACAATTTTGTACTTGTTTCTCAAATTCATGTTGCTTTATGAAATAGTTTTCAATTAACTTTTTGTAATTTTTTTTGAAACAGTGCTTACAAAAAAAACTAAATTTTAGAAGTAAGTTCAAAACAACTTGCATCTTAGAAATAAGTTCAAAACAACTTGCATATAAGCAATAATTTTTGTAATACCTTGGGTTAGGTAAAAAAAAAATGCATATAACCACAAGAGGCAAGAAATATTGCAACCAGTAATGTAAATTCAATCAAAACATTCATTAACAGAACAATCAACCTCTACCAAAGGCTAATGGAGTCTGTTTGGATGCTGAAAAGATGAATTAAAAAGAGAGAATAAAATAATACATACCTTAGTTCAAAAACAAATAATAATAAATAACTTAAGCATAAGAAAAAAGCATTACAATTTTAATAAAATTATTTTATTTTTAAATTGAGACATTTAAATTTTATTGAATTTTACTAAATATAATACATAATTAAATAGTAGAGGGTCAAAATGGTCATTTCACTACCTAATCCCAACAGTAAATAATCCCCCCAAAATTATCCCACACCACCCTAGGATAATATAATCCCCCATATGGGGGATAAGGAGTCCGGCGGACTAAAAAAAAACAAACATCGGATTGGATTTACTGTGCGGATTATAATCCGCACAGTAAATAACCCTCTCCCTTATCTCCCAATCAAACACACCCTAAGTGAAAAGCAATATTTGGATATGACAAGCAATATTTGGATATGACGAGAGTATTTGATGGTTAAGGACTAATACTTCACACCCATTATCACTTGATTCATAGACATTATTTTTACATGTCTCAATTATTGTCTCATTAATTAAAACAAATAATTTTTTTTTGTTGATTAGGCAAAATCTTCCCCACCTAATTCCAACAGTAAATAATCCCCCCAAATCTATCCCACACCCGCCCTAGGATAGTATAATCCCCCATATGGGGAATAAGGAGTTCGGCAAGACTCAATGTCCGGCCTACTAAAAAAAAACAAACATTGGATTGGATTTACTGTGCAGATTACAATCCGCACAGTAAATAATCCCCCCAATCCCCCAAATCAAGCACACCCTATGTATAACCTTAGCAGAATATACATAAAAAGAACTACATGTGCATTAGGCAGGACCCCTAGCAGAATATATATAATAACCTTTTACTTATTCTGTAATTAGATAGTAAACTTTTAAAGATATAGAACCAGAAAAAAGCAACAAGTATACCATGGAGTTAGAGAGTATAATACAATCATGATTCATGATAACTAACAAAATAAATCATTAAAACTAAGAATGAGCATCACATACCTGAAAACATAATCCTTGTTTGCTAATTTCTTCTGCCACCTTGTCTCAACATTTTCACCTTTTTATGCTTTTTCTCTTCAACAATTCTTATAAACAATTTTGGTTTTCCAGTTAAGAACATGAGAAAACCAATAACCAATCCCAATGGCATTCCACACGCATACCCCATCACCACGGCTTCCCAAGTAAATCCACTTACAAAATTTGAGTAATCTTCCTGTTGTAATAGCACCGCTGGCTGAACTGGTGATTGATTATCTTCACATTCCTTCAACAATGGAAACCCGCATAATCCCAAGTTCCCAACATATGAATCATTTCCAAATGTTTCAAATTGTTTGCCTCGAGGTATGGGTCCATCGAGATGGTTACATGAAAGGTTAAAGACCTCAAGAAATGTCAAACTCAATAAATGGTTAGGAATTTTTCCATTAAGCTGGTTTGAAGAGAGGTCTAGTGATTCAACCTCTGTCGAGTCTCCTAAAGACGATGGAATAAGGCCTGTAAGGCTATTATGAGATAAATTAAGCACTATGAGAGAATTAAGCCTTCCGATGACATTTGGAATATCTCCACTGAATTTGTTAGATGATAAATCAATTACTGTGAAGATAGTCAAAATTCTCGTTAAATAATAATCAAGCCCCTTCATCGTCACCATAATAGAACCTTGATAATACGATCCAACACTCAAATATTTTTCATTTGGCATAGTTTTATACCTCATTGCTTTGAAAATTTTGAAATATCTCCCTGGCAAATGACCATTGAACTTATTGTGGGAGAGGTCAAAAATTCGGAGTTTAGGGAAAGGGAGTTTTGGCTTGGAAGTGTCTATTGGACCGTGAAATTTGTTGGATCGCAAGATAAGAGCCTGTAAATTTGGAAGAGTCCCCAACCAGTATGGAAAAGTGCCATTTATCTTGTTGTTTCCGAGGTCTAGAACTTGTAATTGTCTACAATTGGTTAATGATTGTGGAACTGGTCCTTCAAATTGATTTCCATTCAAATTAAGACTTTGCAACTTATTGCCCTTTGCAAATATTAGGGGGATGATCCCCTGAAAGGCATTGAACTGCAGATCTAATACAAAGAGAACATTGCTAAAGTATCCTAAACATTGTGGAATTGTACCACTCAAGTGGTTATGAGACAAATCAAGGACGGAAAGGGAACTCACATTGCAAATTGAAGAAGGAATTTCTCCACTGAATTTGTTAGATGATAAATCAATTACTGTGAAGATAGTCAAAATTCTCGTTAAATAATAATCAAGCCCCTTCATCGTCACCATAATAGAACCTTGATAATACGATCCAACACTCAAATATTTTTCGTTTGGCATAGTTTTATACCTCATTGCTTTGAAAATTTTGAAATATCTCCCTGGCAAATGACCAGTGAACTTATTGTGGGAGAGGTCAACAATTCGGAGTTTAGGGAAATAGAGTTTTGGCTTCGAAGTGTCTATTGGACCGTGAAATTTGTTGGATCGCAAGACAAGAACCTGTAACTCTGGAAGTATTCCCAACCAATATGGAAAAGTGTCATTTATCTTGTTATTTCCGAGGTCTAGAACTTGTAACTGTCTACAATTGGTGTTAAGGATCGTGGAACTGGTCCTTCGAACTGATTTCCATTCAAATTAATAATTTTCAACTGATTACCCTTTCCAAATATCATGGAGATGTTCCCTTGAAAGGCATTGAACCGCAGATCTAATACAAATAGAATGTTGCTGAAGTTTCCCAAACATTGTGGAATTGCACCACTCAAGTGGTTGTGAGACAAATCAAGGATGGAAAGGGAACTCACATTGCAAATTGAAGAAGGAATTTCTCCAGTGAGTTTATTTTGTGAGAAGAGAAAGCCAGATACAGAGGGTGGTGGAACTGGGAGTGGTCCTTGAATCAAGTTGAAACCAAGATTAAGAAAATCAAGACTTTTTAGATTTGAGAATGTTTGTAGCTCTACAACACCACTCAAATTATTTGACGAAAGATCAAGTAGTGTCAAATTCACAAGATTTGAAATTGATTGTGGAATGGGGCCACGTAGTTCATTATGACTCAAGTCAATGAGCATCAATTTTGATTTATGCTGGAACTCAGGAATTTGGCCAGTTAGTCGATTACTACCCAGGTGTAATCCCGTCAATGACGGAAGATTCAACAACTAATATGGTAGTGTCCCATTCAGTGAGTTATTGCGCAAGTGAAGTGCTTGTAGGTTGTGTAGCCCACTAATGATGGAGGGAATGGGACCCATCAGTTCACTACTTGATAAATGTAAAGTAGCAAGTTTTGTCAGGTTGCCTACCCAACCTGGAAATGGACCATTGAAATTGTTATCTCCAAGTGCTAAATACTCTAGCTTTATCAGCTTACCGATAAAATTAGGAATTTTTCCCTGGAGATTATTTCCAGAAAGATCCAAGAAAATGAGCTGATTAAGATTTGAGAGAGTAAATGGGATCTGACCGTTCAAACTATTTCCCCCCAAGTATATATAAGTGATCTGTGTAAGGTTCCCGAGTGATTCAGGAATGGACCCGGAGAATTTGCAATCACCGAGATACAAGGATGTCAAAGACCTGAGATAGCCAATTGAATCAGGTAATTCTCCAGAAAAACTCGTAGACCAGAGATACAACCGCTGGAGGGAACTAGTACTACTCCAGTTTACTTTGGGTAAATTACCAGTGAGATCATAGTTGCCTCCTAAATAGAGAATTTGCAAGTTTGGAAGGTGAAAAATGCTATCCGGTAATTTCCCATGCAACCCGGTGTAACTAAGATCGAGAGATGTCAAAGAAGACATATTCGTGAAAGACATCGGTACAACTGAAGATATGTTTACACCAGAAAGGACAAGTTCTTGCAATTGGGTTAGGTTTTTGAGCATCATTCTGAAATTGTGCGGTTCAAGTCTCACCATAGGAGGAGAGATCGAGTGAAACTAGTTTGGACAGGTGGCGAATTTCTGATGGGATTGAGTCTGAAAAACTGGAAGAAGATAGGTTGAGATGTGTCAAATTGGGAAAGTGAGCAAATGCTGATGGAATGTGGGAGTAATTGAAGTGATTGAAGGGGAGATTGAGGTGGTGGAGGTGAGAGAGTTGGAAGAGGCTACTGTTAGGATGGATACTGCCGTAGAGCTGGCTACAACTGAGGTCAAGCCCAATCACGTGACCCGTCAGACCATCACACGTGACTCCTTCCCACGAACAACAATCAGAACAACTCTCGTTCCAAGATAACATCTTTGGAGAAGCCAAATCGCCACACCACAAAGAAGCATCGCTAGAGCTGTTTATAGTAAACATATGCTTGAATTGCAACAATGCAAACCTCTGGTCATGTGGACACAAATGATGTGTACAAGTAGAAAAAGAAGAGATAGATGATGAACAAGAAACCTGATGATATTGCATGAAATACAAAAGGAATTGGAACAACCATATCAATCGCTCCATTTTTTTTTTTTTTTGGTTTTGTTTTGTTGTAAAGGAGGAGAAAAAGTACAAAGGATCAAGAGAAGAGAAGGATGAGAGGAAGTAGGTACTGATTTATTAGTCTAATTCATTCCTTTATATAGGAAAAATTTTAGAATAAATTATTAATAGGTTTTAGTAGTTGGACTTAATTCTCATTAAATTTTATGGAAAGCTAATTCAAATAAAGTCGTCACTAAAAATTAACAATTAGTAATATTTTTTTATTACTATCTTTATAATTTGTCGCTTAAACTTACAATTAGTGACTTTTTTGTGATAAAATTTTCAAATTGTCACTAAAATTTAAAAATTAATGACTTTTTTTGTGATGATTTTTTTTGACTGTCGCTAAAACTTATAATTAGTAACGTTTTTGTAAAAAAAAATTTAAACTCTTGTTAAAAATTAACAATTAGTGACGTTTTTAATAGTATTTGATGAAAAATGTTGTTAATTATCACAGTACCTATTAGATAAGTCTACCTAATAGGACCTATATGTAAGTCCACCAAAATTTTATTGTAGGTACTTTGTTAAAATGTGTGTATTACATGCTCTTATGAGTATTTGTAGTGTTAATCATGAATTATGTTAGTTTTTAGTTATGGGATTTTATTAGTACTAATTATGAATTGTGTTAGTATTTAGGCCTCATTTTCGCATGCGGGAGTTTTAATCTACAAGTAAAAAAATTATTAAAAAATTCAAAGCCTACCATTTTATTGTGCACACCTAAGGCTATGTTGCAATCACGTGATTTGTGGCACAGAAGAGGTGAAATGACCTTTTTACCCCTCTTTTTTAGTTTTTGTTTCTGTTTTTGTTTCTGTTTTTTTGTTTTTTTGTTTTATTCTAATTTCTGACCGAGCCCCTACTTTTCAACCGAACCCCTTATATTACAAAATTAATAATTACACAACATCATAGAAAATGTATTGCACTGATTAACATTTTTTTTTTTAATTTTTGCTATTTAATTTTCTAAAGATTCTTTTCACAAATATTCTATTTTTCAGTGTATTTATATTAGGTGTATCTAATATTTAATTAAATTGCTTAGAATATTAAAATAATTCAGTGCAAAAAAAAAAATACCGAAACTTAAAATTCTAATTTTTTGATAAGTGAATCCTGAAAAACCAAGCCAAACAAACTTTACATTTCACAAATTACAACATAACATTTTCATAAATTAATAGTTTTTTATTTATGAGAACTTTTTCGGAATACAAAATTGGTGAAGTCCAATATTTGATTTATTTTTATATATTTTTTTTGGGAAAAAAAGAGTTTTGCAATGAATTTGATATGATGCGTTCATGAATTTTGAATGAAGATTTGAAAAGAGTTTGGAAATATTTACAATTATCAGGGAAGTTGTGAAAATAGTTTCGTAATGAGTTGTGAAAAGACTTTTTTTTTTTTATAAAAATAATACAATTATTACATTCCACAAATTATAACAAAACATTTTCATCAATCAAATTGTAACAAATTTTTTTTATGAGTATTTTTTCAAAATACAAAATTGGTGAAGTCCAATTTATACATTTCCTGTTTACAAAATATTTTTACATATAAAAATCGGTGAAGTCCATTATATGAAGTCCAATATTATGTGGCAACAACCCCCTATTTCCCATGCATATAGGCCCCGTTTGTTTTGGGCTATAGGGAGGGTATTGGGACTAGTAATACCAAGGTATTACTAAAGTCCCTGTTTGTTTGCAGAGAAAGGGTTGGGACTATTAGTCCCTTGGTATTGCTAATACCCTTGGAAGGGGGATTGGTAAGGAGGAGGTAGAGATGGTATTAGAAAATAGTGAGGGGATTAGAAATTTTTTTATTTTTTATATATTGGGAATTTTTTTTTAAATATAATGTTTAATTTTTTATATTTTTTTATTTGTTTTATTATTTTATATAAAAATAATTTAACAATTCCTCATTATTAATCCCCTCACTATCAATCCCCTCACTATTAATCCCCTCACTAACAATCCCCTCACTATTAATCCCCTCACTATCAATCCCCTCCATTCTATCTCCCAAAACAAACGGGCCCATAAGGTACATGCTGCTAGCCCTCTGCTGCATCACTTCACCCAGCAACAATGATTTAGACCACTAAAAAATACATCACTAATAGCACTAATATATTGGGAATTACAAAAAATAAATAAATAAATAAAAATAAGTCATAGAAAGTGGGCGGAGCCCGCTGCCACATCATTAGTGCTCCCTCTAATGATTCCTTTTTAGTGCTGCCAAGCATTTTTTCTTCACCAAGCAGCTTGTCAGGTAAATTCACTCTCTCACCAATTGAACATGTCACTCTTGAATTGCAAAAATGTCAACTTACTAATTTTTACTATTCCCTCCGTCCCAAAATATTAGTTTCTTATTTCATTTTTTATTGTCTCAAAATATTTGTCCATTTTCAAAAATCAAGTACACAGATAATATAAATTTCCTATTTTGTCCTTCTTTTAAATTAATAAACAATATAAAAAGTACAATTATGACATTGATATTTCAAAAAATGTACTATCAAAAGGGTAATTTTGGAAAATCAACTTTTTAAAAGTGTAATAATTGTACTACAAAAAAAAGTTAGATTCCCCAAAGGGGACCATTATTTTGGAACAGAGGGAGTACATATTAGTTTGTGTCACATCTTTTCGTAAAAAGTTAAAAAGTTCTTTTCAAACATATTAATTTTTTTACTTTATCTTTTAGCCAAAAAATTCAAAAAGTCACTAAAAAAGCTTGTTTCCAAATGAGGCCTTAGTTATGAGATTTTGTTAGTATTAATAAGAGTATTGTTATTGAATACCAAATATTAGATTCACTTTTTAAGTTCAATAATGCGGCAATCAATTAAAATATTAAAAGTAATACTTTTTTTTATATTTTGTTTAATTATCAATTAATCATATCAATTACACAAACGTGGTAAGTGGGCATATAATACACATCTAAGAGGGTGGCTGTGGAAATATGAGAGCAGTACACATTATAGGAATACAAGTTGCATTGAGGACGTGGAACAGTAACAACTACCGATGTTATAGTTGAAGATGTCAATTTCCTTATGAAAGTTTAATTATTATGGGACTATTTTTGATTTATTTTGATAATTAAATTATTCATTTTATATAATTAATTGAAAAAATTATCTATGCAAAATATTAAATTCAACCAACATAAATTGTTATACAATCAGATCATATTTATTTATATAGCATACATGGTATTAAGAATTGATTATTCATTTGTTATAATATATATGTGACTTGATCATGTGAATACTTATATTTGATTATTCTAATTTTTTATATGCACATTTTTTTTAACTTGTCATGTGAGATGAACGGTTCAGATTAGGAGATGGATCCAAATTGATTCCATAATATGCCAACCTCACTTATGAAGCTGAGGTCTTTAACTTTAACAAATTTGACTCAATAACTTCTGTGGTAAATCACATGTTTAAAATTATGGTTGGGAAAGCATAGAGTTGGGTTATTTGGGATAAAATAGTCAATAATGATAAAATAAACTAAAATAGTTAATAAGACAAAATATCACATCCAATCAAAAATCATTTCCCTTTTTTTCACAATTATCAAATCAACTACTAAAAAAAAAAAACCTATCTTCCCGAACACAACATTTTAAGCCAAATAAAATAACCAAAAAGTAAAAAAATCAACTAAAATAGCTAACTTCCCAAATGAGGCCATTATTAGTATTTAGGACTTGTTTGATTGGGCAAATTATAGAATAGGGATAGAATTCTTAATCTACAATACTCATGTTCTAGTGTTTGGCTGTAATTTTTTTTATTCGGATTAGATTTCAATGCATATTCTTTCCAACAAAACTGGTGAGTTTTCTAATTGTACAACTATAATACTGCAAAATAAAAGTATAATTTAGAGTACATATATTTTTATATTCATTGCAAAACAAACCTGGATAAAAGGAATTATATACTAATCCATATAGATAACAAATTCTACACTAATTCCATAAATTATTAATCATCTCACTATTAATCTGGCTAATTAAACATGACCTTAATTACTCTCAAATATGTATAGTCTAATTTTGCACATTGATCATATAAAAATACATTTTTAGGACCCATTTTTTACATGAAAATCATTATATATATATATATATATATGTGTGTGTGTATATATGTATGATGATTTCCCTCCTAAGGACACCTTCCAGGAAATAAATTAATAGAAAAAAAATTAAAATTATTTTGAATCACTAAATTCATCATTTTTGAACAAAAGTGTATTATGTTTCAAAATGTGACATAAATCATCTAATAATGTTGAGCTAAAAAGCCACCAATTTTTATTCAGTTTTAATTAATGGAAATTTAGTGTTTGGGGCTGAAATTTTATGTAATCCAATTAGCTACGGCCTGTATATGATGAGCAAGAGTTGTCAATAAATAAAGGGTTAATTACACTTTTTAGCATTATAGTTTGATTCAAATTTTTACTTTAATTCTTATAGTTTTAAATTGAGCAATTTAATCGCTACGTTTCAAATCTAGTTTCGGCTTGGTACTTCAGTCAAATTGAAAGTTAAGGTTAACAATTTTAGAACACTTGTGAGTCTCTTGGGATGTACATGTAAAAAAAATTAATAAAAATTTAGATAGAACGACCACATTAAAATTGATTTTAAATTGCATCAACTAAATTATTTAGTTTGAAATTATAAGAAGCAAAATGAAATTTGAATCAAAATATAAGAGGTAAAAGTATAATTATCCCATAAATAAATATAAATGAATGAAACAATGCAGGCAAAAGTTGTTTGAATCTTAC